ACAACTTACGACCTGCAAGAGGAACATAGGATTTTTTTTTTCTCAATCCTTTGTACACGTTGTTAGAACGAGGCTGATTTTGTACGTTAGGGTTACCTGATTCTTCTTCATCTCTATTTTTCATTTTGCAGTAGCTGCAGGAAAGCCTGTCGCGGTGACTTTGGGGCAGACGATGGCTGGCACAAAGGAGGGGACAGGATTTCTGGCCACTTCGACGTGAGTATCTGCAGGCACAGCCCAGATTCCTGGTTTAGATGACTTTAAAAGGAGAAAAGCCTCCACTCGCTCTGGGCGGCTCCTTTATGCTGCCTTCGGATGAGAAGCAATAGACCCCACGGAACAGTCACCGGACAGCCTTTCTTCCCTGGGGGCAAAGCTTCAGCAGGGACTTGTGAGGAGGATGGATGACGTTCATCTCCTTTTAATGACCCCGTCATCCTTTGCCCGGTGGAGCCTGGGCAACTGAATGGAGCTGAGTGCTTCCTGGCCAGATGCCCTTCCTGTCACCAGTGTGGAGTTTTATTCAGGCAGATAGATTCTCAGTGTGCCCAGAGCGAGAGAAATATCTGCCTCCTGATTGTGAGGCGGGAGCTCCACCTCGAGGCCACCGCACCACTCGTGAGGATGGAGGACAATGTCTGCCTCTTTTTAACGGGGCATTGGCCTGATCTAGCAAAACTCTTGTTTTTGAGAGAGGTGTGTGTGTCATGTGTCAATTGTGTCCACACTGGAACTTATCAGAAGAAATGCTGCAATCCAGCCGCACCAAGAGAAGGCCGGTGTGTAACCGAGAGCAGGTGCTCTATGCAGGCCAGCTGAGACTCGGGGAGTATTTTGTGTGCAAGCAGCCCCACAGCTGCCGAGGCCAACAGCTCCTTTGTGCCAGGAGGTCTGTGTGCCTCACCCACCCAGCTGAGCTGCCTCAGACGAAGCCCAGTCACTGCGTTTCCGTTTCCTAGGCCGAGTCCTGCCACAGACGGCCCCTCCTCCATCAGTCCCACACCCTCCGTTACGATCCCGAGCAGCACAGCTCCCAGTGCTTTCCACGCTCTGCAGAACAGACTGGTGGCCAGTGGCACCTCCTGCTTGCAGGCCCAATCTGCCGGTGCGCTCCCAGGTAAGCGGCAGGCGGTGATTCTGCCAGGGAAAGGCAGCCCTCAGAGGGTGGTGTGTGTGTGTGGGAAGGCTTCCTTGTCTTTAGCCAGATTTGGAGACCGCTTGGCCAGGGCGGCATTCCTGGCATAGTCCCAGGGGAGCAGACGCCTCTCCTAGTCTCTCTCTCTTAACTGTATCGTGTCTATAACTCAACTCAAATGGAAACAAGGGCAAAGGTAGCAGCTTTTGTAGAAGCTCCGATTCCCTTTCAGAGGGACTCCAGAGCAAGTGTGAAGCTGCCCCCCACGTGCAATGCCAATGAATGGGCCGGCAGGCTGTCCTGGGGGGGCCGCGCCTAGAGGAGCACCTGGCGGTCCTGGGCTGCAGCTTCTCTCTCCTCCTTCTCTTCAGGGGCCGCTTCAGCCAGCAGCCTTCTGCAAGGCTTGAGCTTCAGTCTGCAGGACATCAACACCAAGCCCGCTGCTCTTCCAGCCGGTGTTGGCGTTGCTGGGTCCTTGGCACAGGTAGGCAGTGGAGGTGGCCCGGGCCCAAGGGCAGCAGCTCAGGCCAACTGGCAGGAGGAGCCCAGTCTTAAAGGTTCTGGAATTTTGTGAGCTGGGTGAGAGCAGAGCTCAGCTGCAGCAGCGGGGCGGTGGCAATGCGAGCTGGTTTGGGGTCTTAAGCATTTACCCGCACACCCCCAGCCCTTTCGGTAGCTGGGAAAGGTGCGTTTTAATGGAGCGTGAAATAATGGGCAGGGTCCGATTTCAGCCGTGCAGGTTTAACCAAGTGGAAACCTGAGTGTGAAGCTGAAGAGAAGGTGAGATTTAGGGACGTTGCGACGAGTCTCCGCTTACGCAAAGGATGGAGGCGAATTATTCCCCCTTCGCCTTCTGGAGAATGTTTTTATTCTTCCTCTAGTCTACGGCTTCTTGGGCCAATTGGCTGCTTGGCACCTGAAGACCCGCGTGGGGCAGACGAAACGCTTTCGCTTACACTCTTGGAGGAAAACGTGTTGTGACCTATTCTCCTTCCCACCCTGCAGAACTCGAAGACTCCAGCACCCCTCCAGGGCCTGAGTGCCATCACGACCAGTGGAAGCACCCTTGTCCGGACGATCCCGGTAGCCACCTCTCTCTCATCCCTCGGAGCCTCGGCTAGCGGGAAGCCCACCACCATCCACCAGCTGCTTACCAATGGGGGGCTGGCCAAACTGGCAAGCAGCCTCCCTGGCTTGGCTCACATCTCTGGTCAGGGGACAGGTAAGAGCCCAGCTGCGGGGCAGAGCAAAAAGAAAAGTTATTCTTGGGCTGGCCGGCACTGGATGGCGGGTCTCCGTGACCCAAACAAGTTGAGAAGGGAATCCGCGTAAGGGAGCAGCCGAAGGGTTGGGGGCTGAACCGGGACCAGCTCCAGCAAAGCTTTCAGCCTGCTGTTGTTTGATATGGATCCGCCCATAGAAAAAGCCATGCCTTGTGGAGGGCCATGGAGACAAACCAAGGTACAGTGGCGGTGTTCGGGATGGAGGCCCAGCCTGGGACAGTATCCCACCCAGATCGCCTTCCTGTCCAGTCAGTGGGGCTCTTGGGGGAAGCGGCCCACAGGCTCCCTGCTGGAACGGCCTCCGGTAACTCTTGCCTCCCCATTGCCAGGCTTAAAGGCCCCGACCACCATCACGGTGACCCTCCGGGGACAGGCCAGTCGAGCCGCCACACTTAGCCAGACCACGGTGGCAGCTGCCCAGGCACAGTTGGAGGAGCAGACGCAGCAGCTGCTGCTTCCCCCACCGCAGCCGCCCCAGGTAACGTGCCAGGCAGGGTGATTTGAGATTCTGCCTTTGGAGGGGACCGGGCAGGGGTGATTGGCATCTGCCCGGAGACCTGCTTCTGGATGGCCATGGGGTGACGCAGTGAAGAGCTGTACTTCCCTCTCCTAACTACGACTTGCTGGGATGGAGAGCGATGTGGTGTTTTGTCTTGCCTTATGCTCACCGCGGCGTTCTTTGCACCGACCACGGTTTTACTGGCCTCCCTTTCGGTTCATTGTGCCTGTCCCATTTTGCAGGTTGCAGATAATGCAGGTGGGAACCTGGCCTGCCCAGCTCCCGGCCCTATGCCTCCCAGTAAACGGTTGCCTCAACTGGACCTTGACAAAGCGCAGAGTGCCGAGAGACGCCCTGCTGACCCTCCGTCTCACCCGTCTTCAACGGTATCACTGGCTGTAGGTGAGAAAGAGCGACGGTCCTGGCTTGCTTTCCCTTCCTGCGGTTAAGCCACCTGGGATTTTATCTGTCCTCCTGTTAAATAGCACCCAAGAACAAAGGGTGGGTTCTTCTGATTTTAAATCTCTGGTTTATGTGACACTCATTGGATCCAACATCAACTTAGTTCTGACAGCTGCCCCTTCCCAGATTACACCTGTCATGACGAGTGTGCAACGTCCCAACTGTGTCCCTCCAGCTTCTGTTAACCGCAGCCAGCATCACCCGGGTGAAGCCTGGCACTAAACATGGTTTTATTGGCAATTCTGTACTGTTTTTGCACATTCTTAAGAAAAGGCCCCAAATCCTGGAGAGTTCACTTTCCTGACTTTCCTTGAATCACTGCCATATTTGCAGGTTCATCGAAATTATAAGACTAAAGACAACTCAGTTGTTGGAAGGCAGGTTGGGATGCTTGGTTGAGTTGAAGGCCGCTAGCAGCGGTCAGAGTAAGAATTGGAGAACCCTTTTTATCCGTCCGTGGAGGTTTCTCTGAGGAACCCAGGCCTACGATGCTCAGCCAGGAGCAAAATGATAGGGGTTGAATGTTGAACCGTCTCCTTTGTCCTCCTCGTCTAGTAACTACCACGAGCCCCATGAAGACCCTCTACGTTATGTCAGATGCGAAACTGTCGGCACTCACAAAATCCGTCATGGCAGAAGCTGCGTCTGCCCCCCTGAAAGCCACACCTGTCCAAACAACTGCTGCTGCTGCTGCTGCTGCCTCCTCTACTTCCTCCTCCTCTCCTCCTGGAGCCGTGACCTTTGCCACCACGACGACCAGCAGCACACCTGGCAGCTTGGGGCAGCCTAAAGTGGGGCCCGTTCTGCAGTCGGCTTCCAAGACCGTGATCCTCACCTCTACGCTAACGGCTTTGAAGGCTGATCGGAGCCTGGGACCGAGAGGGGAGATGAGCCTGCCCAAGGGGCATGAACTTGGGACCATGGAAACTCTGGGCAGGGTGCCTTCTGTCATGGACGAGAGCAGCACCATCATCCACACCCGGGAGAGCCTCACAAACAGACACTTGCTTCCACAGGGTATGTTGCCTTCCGCAGCCGGCACCACGCTTATTACTTTGAGCAGCAACCTAGCCAGCTCCTCTGTCGTCCCCGCAGCTGGGGCTGCCCTCAGCCAGAAACCAGGACCTCCCACCATTTGATGTCGTTTTGGCTTTACCGTGGGAAATAAAATTTGGGGCACACCTTAGCATTCCTGGCTTCCATGACTAGAGGACACATTATTGGTTTCTTTGACCCTTTTAATAAACTTTTTGTGTGCATGTAGCACCTTTTAATTGCTCTCTAAAGGACTGGCCTATTTTTCACAAGTATTAAGTACAGACTAGAGGCTTCTATTTGGAGTTCTTGAGTGGACGTGCGGTGTGTATAAGGGAGGCATAATAACCATTTCATTATGGTGAGGTCAGGCTGTATTCAGTGCATCAGGCCCTTCCCAAATAAACTAGGGGAAATGGCATAAATGGAAAGGATCTCATGAATTGGAGGGGTGTTGAAAAATTTTATCTTGCTCAATAGCAGCCAGTGTTAATCTGCTTGCAAACTTCAGTCTTTTAGTATTTCAAGGGTGAGCAGAAATATTCCTGATATCTTTTTTTGAGTACCCACAAGCCAGTAAGACAGCTTTAGTTGCTAACGGACACTTTATTTTACTTCCAAAAACAAAACGTCAAGTGATGTTAGGGGTAAGGACTCTATAAGCATGCTCATGGCTTTCAATTAACAATAAATCCCATCAGCTAATATGCAGCTCTACAGCAGACTTTACTCAAAAATCGGGAAAATAAAAGAAACACATTGAAAGGTTTAAATCTGAACCCACACAAGCCTAAAGATTAGTGGGAACCAGCTACCAGAGCCTCTCTGGCATTTTGAAAACTCTCATGAAATAGGGAGCAGGTTTTATGTTTTGTGCCAGTGGGGCTCGGAAATATAATTTATTATCCGTGGTAAAATGCATTTCCATATAAAGACATCTCTCCTGAAACTATAGATTACATAACAAATCTTAACGATTTCAAGGAACCAACATTAGCACAATTTAAGCATATAAGCATCCACAATGATAACATGCTATTTAAATGGCCTTTTTTCTTGGAATGTAATAAAGGATTCCTAATAGTTACACAAACTTTTAGCAAACATTGGAGGTATGTGCCATGATACTTTTCATAATATTCAAATACATGATTACATTGTGTAAACCAAATTAATATTTTGTCAATGTATTAATGAACTGCTTTGCTTTGGCTGCAAAAGTAGCTGTTGTCCCACTGCTGGTAAACACAAGAAAATGCTTTCCATTTCATTTCAAAGAAACAGGAAACACCATCCGTTTGGTAGCAATGTCTGCGCCAAGTGAACTGGGGAACTCAGAAAGCAAACAAGCCTACAGGCTTCAAAAAAAGAAGGCAGACATGGTAGCGGTGATGAGATTCTCCTCTAGATAATTGTTCAAAAATGACATTCTGGCTCCTTATCATGAGTTCACTGTGGTAACAATGATTTTATACAGAAATGCAAGGTATGCAAAATTCTTGGATGACATGCCGGTTGATGTATTTGCCCGCTGGTTCTGTTATCTAAGTGTATGTGGCCCCTGCATGTGCCAGTATCTTCCCACACGATCTCTGGGAATAATCCGCAATTCTGAGCCATGTTTCAGGAAAACATTCCCTGGAAAAAGAAAAGGATTATTACCTACAAGGATACACAAGAGGTTTTTATTTGTGCTTTAATTAAAAGTTTTAGAAAAGACATAAACATGATTTTGCAAAGTTCAGCAGGAAAGAAATAAAAACAAAATCTGCATGTTTTACTCCTCCGCTACTAGGGAATAGCAGAGAGAATATGGCTGCAGGTCAGACCTTTGTAAGGAACTATAGCACACTCTGTACTCCTACTCAAGACATCTGAAATCACAAAGTCCTTTTTCTTTGTTCATGAAACATTTTTGCAGATCTAGGGGGGGAAAATATTCTCCTGTTGGGTAAGAGACAAGGTTTGTTTCAAATTTCAGAATCTAAACGAAACCTGTTTCTAAAAAAGTGACACTCTTGATGTTGTCATATTCAAGGTAAAGTATTTTATCATTTATCATAAATTATAAAAAAAAAGATTGCAGGGATCACACAGAGAACATCTGAAGCACACATTAACCAAATGGCTTGTCTGGACCTAGCAGAACCACAATTTATGAGCTTATTGTAAAAAGAGCAGCAATAATGTAAAAGCATAGAGTGATGAAAATACTTCACACTTGCAAATGCTCAGCTGTGTTCCTATGTATGTCTCAGGAGAGCATATTTTCACAAAGGTCAGCAATCTCAAGCTTTCCAGAATCTGTTGAACTGCAGAAGTCATCATTCACCACTAGAACACCTGCCAATTCATGTCTTAACATAATTAGTGTTCAGAAATGTTTGGAAAAAGTTGTCAGGAGATGCCACATGCTTTATTGATGTGATATGGTGGAAAAATCTATTTCTTGCTAGCCCATTTCTTTGATATCTACAGCAGTACATCTGTACTTGACAGAATTCATTACAAAATACTCTCAATTTTACAGGCACTTACCAGCTGTCTGATCAGGGTTTATTCCTATTCCATCTGGGGAAGAAATTAAAAGAGGTTAGTGAGATTCTTCTGCAGAATTTCCCCTCTGGATCCCATGAAAAGAAATGGAGTCTTTACTGAAAGATGAAATCAGGTTCTTTCTTGCCCAGTTCATGAGATTAAAAAATGTAATAAGAAAAGTATAATTGTGCCCTCTATGCAAAAGCTAGCATGGTTTAACCACGTGGGATCCGAAACTAGTAGACAAGCCTTGTTACTGGGTTTCAACAGGATGGGCATTAACAAGTCACCAGTGCTATTTTTAGAACTAGGACTGTGCAGCATTTTAAAGGCAAAAGATGCCGCTGAGCGCGAGGACTCGGCCTGCAATTCCTTCAAGCAGCCCGCCGTTCCCTGGGTCAGACGGGATGGCAGCCCTACAAATCCAAGACAAGACGAAGCCGTTATGGACAGGAGCTGCATTCCTGCCTTGAATCCCAAACACTGCAGGGTGGAATCATCTCTGTGGAGACTCTTAGTCACCCAGGTCATCGTTGCCTCGAAGGCGCTTTTGCAAAACGCAACTGGACTCTTTTTTTTTTCCTTGCGGAAAAAACTTTCTTCTTCCTCAAGGAAAAAAACAGTCCAGCTGCCTTTCGAAAAAGCGCCTTTGCAGAGTGGAGCCAAGTCCTGTGAGACGCACATGTAAACTCACCGTTTGTTAAAATGGCACTTGTAGCTGCAGGGACTTTGAACTAAATTAAAGAGAAATACAAGACGTTAAAAGAATACCCGTGCCATTCCTCTTGGTAAAAAAATTATTCGTGTCACTCCTACTTTGCAAGAAGGAAAGCGACACTATCCCGTTCTATATTGTTCTTTTTATTCCATTTCCAAATTGCCAAATAAAAAAGGTTCTCTCTTTGTATCTTTTATACAAGACGTTGCTACAAAAAAAAGGATCTATCTGGACGTTTTGAAAACCACTCACTTCTTCTGCAGCAAACTTCAAGACGGCAGTGAAAGGCGTGTTTTCAGGCACACTTAACCTGCAAAAAACAGGTAGTTCTCTAAAATGCGTGACCCCTACGGATTTCTACACCAAAGCCCCCCCCCCCTTTTTTTAAGAACCCAGTCCCAGCACCCGTCTCTAACCCCTGGCTTTGGGGGGGGGGCTTGCCTTCCATTTTAGGGCAGGAAGCCCAGCTCAGCTCCCTGGGGGCTGCACGAATGCAAAGAGCGATTCCTCCGGGCTCCCCTGCCACGTCTGCCAGGCCTGGGCGGTGACTGCGGGGGATCCCGGGAGCCTCCCATCAGGGTTCAGATTCAGAGTTGGAAGGGACCTTGTAGGCCATCTAGTCCAACCCCTCTGCCCAAGCAGGAGACCCTGCGGACGACCTGACCAGGCTTTGTCTTCGTCCCCTCCCCCCTCCTGGAACCGGCTTCCTTTCGGCTCCCCGTCCCTCCCACCCCCCCACGGGACAGCAGCCGGTCCTCCAGAGCAGCGGGGACCCCCGACCTTTGGGGACCGGCCATTGGGGGGGAAGGGGAGGGGGGGGGAAATGACGCCGCGCGCCCCCGCAGGTTGCAAATGGGAGCTGCGGGCGCGCGGCGTGACGTGTCGAGCCGTTGCATTGGGACTCACACTTTGTAAGGCAGGCGCGGGTCCGAAGTGAGCGTGATCTTGAAGGTGACCTTTGCCCTGCGGGGAGAAGAAGGAGACGCGGCGGTTAGCAGCCGGGGGAGACCGGGGATGCGGGGGGGGGGGGCGTGAGGGCCGCTCAGCCCCACTTACATCGTTCGGCCTCTTGCAGCCGGCTACCCCACTTCCGGAGCTGCCGCGTGCGTCACTTCCGCCTCGGCCTTTTCACACTCTCTCTCTCTCTCTCCCCCCCCCCCCCCCCCCCCCCCCCCCCCCCCCCCCCCCCCCCCCCCCAAGGCCGGCCATCCAGAGAGCTAGGAACGTGCAGAGAGGCCCGCCGCGATGAGCAAGCGCAAGGCCCCGCAGGAGAACCCCAACCAGGCCATCACCGACCTCCTCAGCGGTGGGTACCGCCGCCCCAGGCGGAGGGGGCGAAGAGGAGTTCCGGGGGGAGTTGAGGGGGGACGGCGGTGTTGATGCTAAGGCGTGGGGGAACTCGAAGCAGCGCTCGGCAGACCCTGGGTGGGCTTCTGAGGGGACGCCGCGGCCGAGTCTTTCCCTCGGATCCGTCTCTCCCTGCGGGCCTCCGTGTGTCCTTCGTGAGCCTCGGCGGCACAAAAGCCTCATGGAAGGGGGCTGTGGGACTATCTAGGCACGCCTTGCGCATCGCTCCATCCCGGGCCCCTTTAAGCCTGGAGGACTTCAACTCCCAGAATTCCCAGGACTTCAACTCCCAGCAAAGCCGGCTGGGGAATTCTGGGAGTTGAAGTCCTCCAGGCTTAAAGGGGCCCCAGGTTGGAGAGCCCTGTCCTAAACAGCCTCAAAACTTCTTCCTAAAAAACCCTTCTGGCTTCTGCTGACTTTGGTTCTCTGGGTGAAGAAGGGGGGGAGGGTCGCTGCCATAACCCCAAACCCTTTTCCAGCCCCTCCCCCGCTTTGCAGGCTTTGATTTGCGGCTCCGTCTCCCCAATGCCGCTGCTTTTGCTGAATCTACGCTGCCCCCCTGGTACAATGGGAGGCTTTTTTTGTAAAGGGGGGAAAAAATGAAAGAGGCCTAGGAAAATCACCTCCGAATTTTCCCCCACCTTTAATGTAATTTATAATAGCAATAGCACTTAAGAATTATATCCCGCTTCACAGGGCTTTTTACAGCCCTCTCTAAGCGGTTTACAGAGTCAGCCTCTCCCCCCCCCCTCCCCCAACAATCTGGGTCCTCATTTTACCCACCTCGGAAAGACGGAAGGACGAGTCAACCTTGAGCCAGTCAGGATCGAACTCCTGGCAGTGGGCAGAGTTTGCCTGCAATTCTGCATTGTAACCACTGTGGCACCACGAAGGAGAAAAAAGGAAGGAAGGAATAGCAATAGTACTTTGACTTATATACCGCTCCATAATGCTTTTACCGCCCTCTCCAAGCAGTTTCCAGGGTCAGCCTCTTGCCCCCAACAGTCTGCGTCCTCATTTGACCCTCCTCGGAAGGAGGGAAGGCTGAGTCAACCTGGAGCCGGTCAGGATGAAACTCCTGGCAGTGGGCAGAATTAGCCTGCAATACAGCACTCTTCACCGCTGCACCAACATGGCTTCCTTCCTTCCTTCCTTCCTTCCTTCCTTCCTTCCTCCTCCCCACTCCCCAAGCAATAGCACTTATATCCCGCTTCACGGGGCTTTTTACAGCCCTCTCTAAGCGGTTTACAGAATCAGCCCCTTGCTCCCAACAATCGGGGTCCTTCATTTTACCCACCTCGGAAGGAGGGAAGGCTGAGTCAACCTGGAGCCTGGTGAGATTCGAACTGCCTTCAGCAGAAGGAGCCTGCAGTACTGCCCTCTAACCACTGCGCCACCGCGGCTCAGTATAAGCTGTGTGATTCAATTTATTTTTCAGTAAAGAAATATTTTTAATGGGGAAAACAGTAAAAAAACAAACAAACCATCTAATAACATGGTTGCCTAAGTGCACAAAAACTGAAATGAATAATTTGTTTATCTTTTGCTTTTAGACAACATAACATTCAGTCTTTTGGGCATCTTTGCCATTCTTCCTTGCAAAAGCGCTCCATATCGATCCGATTGCGAGAGCATTTCCTATCCAAAGCCCTCTTCAGATTCACAAATACAGTGCTTACATATTTGTCACCAACGGGTGGGAGGTTATTGCTTTTTGTATTGTTACCCCTATAATCTGCCCAGAATCATTGAGTTGAGTGGCCATATTTTTTTTAAATAATTAAATACTTAAATTGAGACTTGTATTAATTTATGCTGTTCTTTATTACTTTTTTCAGAATTGGCCAACTACGAAAAGAATGTGAATAGAGCTATTCATAAATACAATGCTTACAGGTAAGATTTACATTTTGGGAACAATCATCTAATCTGTTTCACATGGAATCTCTCATTGGTGTTTTAGAAAATACAGTGGAAATTTTCCTGGTATTTCTTTCTTGCAAAAGGCTGTTCTTGGAATTTTGTCATGCAATTTGGAAAACTCTTTTGCCAGCAGTCCCCAACTTTTCCAGCTTGGTGGGCCAGGAGGGGGTGGGGGGAGGAGAGGGGATGGTTCTGTGTGATTGGCAGTGAGCCAGAGTTGCGGGGGACCCCTGCCGTAGACTGACAGCGCTGCCAAAAATATTTCTTCTTCTCCCATGCAGGAAAGCAGCATCTGTAATATCCAAGTACCCTAGCAAGATTAAAAGTGGATCTGAAGCAAAAAAATTGGTAAGTTCTGGAGCTAATAAGAATAAGGAATTTTCCAAAATTCTTGGGGAGGTTTTAATGGTTGGTATTTTAGTCAAACTTCATTGAGAAATTGCTTGATTCTAAATATTCTAAATATAATTAAATCCATTTAGCAAGAAGGTGTTCACTGGACAGGTTCATAGAAATCTCATATTTCTGTTTTACAGAAAATGGGTCCTCTTCTGCTGAAAAGGACAGTTGAGAAATTTTGGAGAAATTACTGAACTGAAAACATTCATGTGTGTTTGTATGCTAAGAGCTTGTTGTCTGATGTCACTGATTACTAAATGTAAGACTGGGTTTTTTTTAATGTCAACTTCATACTTTAGGATGGCGTAGGAACTAAAATTGCTGAAAAGATCGATGAATTTTTATCTACTGGAAAATTACGTAAGATAGAAAAGGTAGATATTTGAATTTTTGGTCTTATTTTATATATTTTTTCATTTCATATCTTTGCAATTGTCTTTGCAATTCACATGCTAACATGCTCTCATGTATCCTTGTAATAATGTTTCAGCCCAGCTATGCTATGAGTCTTCCTCTTTGTGTGTGTGTGTGTGTGTGTGTGTGTGTGTGTATACAAAGTAGTGATTTTATCATATTTTCCTTCCTCTAGATTCGACAAGATGACACGAGTTCTTCTATCAATTTATTGACCAGAGTTAGTGGCATAGGGTAAATTGATGGGCATATTTAATCTTAAACTGTCAAAAGGGGTGTTTGGAAAAGGCAAATAATTGAAATCTAAAAAATAGGAATCAGGTTTCCTGAACAAAATAATACTAATAAATTTTATTCTGTATATTTTAGCAAAGCCCATTCACATCCTCTCTGTGCGTGACCTCTGTAGATGCCATTTGCCAGCATTCCCCAACCTTTCTGGGTTGGTGGCCCAGCCCCAGAGGGTGGGGGGTGGGAAGAGGGGATGGTTTTGCGTGAGGGGCAGGCGAGCGTTTGAAGCTGTGGGCCGAGGGTGGCTGCGAGTGCCAGTGCGCTGGCACACCCCTCGTGGCCTAGTTGCGAATTGGCCACAGGTTGTGGACCCCTGCCATACACTAAATAAAATAAATACTGTAAATCTTCTCTGTCATTGTTTGATATTTCCTCAGCTCTGAATAGCTTTAGTTTGCTTTGCTTCCCAAAGATTTTCAGTTGCCGCTATCTTACCTTTCTGAATTAATTTTTACCATTTAGGTTAAATAATCCATCAGTTTTCTTACTCAGTTGTAGTGTTAATTTGAGTTCTACTGAGATTTTGCAGTGGAAATTCTGTCCAGCTGTTAATGAGTTCCCTTTTTCTCTGCAGTCCTGCTGCTGCCAGGAAACTAGTAGATGAAGGTATTAAAACATTGGAAGGTGAGCTATTAAAAGGTTATTACTTGCATATCTGCATTTACATCTGAAAGTGTATGGCCACTTTGAGAGATTGGTTGAGCACCCGGCTAAAACAGATTAGCAGACACCCTTCTGCACATTTGCAAGCAGAGTCTGACTCCCCAGTTAAAGATAATCTTGTTGCTCAGTTAGACTTGATTCTTCTGCAGGATGATCTTATGTCAATGTAACTGATGTATCATTTTTTTAAAAAAATGTATGATATGTTAGGTGTTATAGCATTTTTGTTTTGCTAAAATAATGTTGTGAGTTGATGGAATATTAAATTTAACACGGATAACACAAATTGTTTCTGCAGTAATTAAATTTCTGACACCTCCCTCCCTCCTTTCCTTTCCCTCTCCCTCTCCTTCCCTCCCTCTGTCTCTGAAAGACTTAATACTTAACTGACTCCATGTTGTTTTTTCTAGACTTAAGGAAAAATGAAAATAAATTGAATCATCATCAACGCATTGGATTAAAGTAAGATCTGCTTACTTTGTTCATCTGAGGGAAGGGAGGACAGAGTTTTCATGCCTAGAAAAGGCACCTCATTTTTGACATTATGGTTATTTTGATCCACAAGAGGCTAACTGTCGACTCTAGGGTGAGGAGGGAAGCAGATTATTTTCCATTTTGGTTTTTTTTAGAGGAACAAATAGATGTATTGAAATTTATAGAGTGTGTCCTTGAAAATAGACATTTCTATTCTCAAAGCAAATGCCAATGTTGTTTGATTACTTAAAAATTCTATCACACTTGTGAAAAACATTTCTTGTGTAATCTGTTAGTGCTCCTTGTTATTTCTTTCGTAATAGTAGAAAGGGCATGGCAGGGCATAGCAGTAGAATTTTTATTTGCATCATTTAGTTGTTATTTAGGATGAACTGCTGTAAAATTTATCTGATGACAGAAATATTCAATATAATGGATATTTTAAAATATGTCTTAATATGCATGGAAATTGTCTTTAATGGTGATGTGCTTAAGTCCCAGGTGGCATCTGATGCCAATCTAAGCATTTCATTTCAGCAGAATTTCTTTGAAAATAAATCTGTGGTGGATCCCAGTCACAATTCATCCCTGATTTTCCTTTATTTTGCATGCACAGATACTTCAAAGA